GTGACACTTCCCAACGGAAAAATCCATCACCCCCTACACAAATGACGACACCTCAGAAGACCAACCCATAATCTTCGACAACGAAGGTTCCGACGAAACACAACTACTGGAAGGAATGAAACACGAGTCAAACCAAATGAAGCTACATGACGTCTACGACGAAGTAGATGCGTCTACCGTCGACGACAACGTCATCAGAGAAGCGATGCCTACAAGATGGGTACACAGAAAGAAAGGACCAGGAGTGCGAAGCCGAATCGTCGCAAAAGCCTACACAGAGAAGATCGAGGACGAAGACTCCGTCTACGCCTCTACACCAATGTTCACGACACTCCGGACACTTCTCGCACTACAAATGTCACGACCAAACTGGATAGCGCGACAAGGCGACGTCTCTACAGCATTTCTACACGCACCCATCGCAAAAGACCACGACGGTAAACAACGTGACGTCTACCTTTGGCCATCTAAAGAACTTTGTCCACAACAGGACAAAATCTGGCGACTAAAGAAAGCCATGTATGGATTACGCAGGTCACCAAAAGCATGGCAGGACTACCTGGCTGAAGTGTTACAAAAGCTCAGCTTTGTAAGGCTACAGTCAGAACCTAACGTCTACACCAATGCGACTCGCGACTGCTACATCATGGTCTACGTGGATGACCTCTTGGTACTGGGTGACAAGACTACTGTCGACTCCACCTTCGAGGCCATCCAGAAGCAGGTCCTACTCAAGCACATCGGCTACCTCGAACCTGGCAAACCACAACAATTTCTTGGAAGAAGCATCGACCGCTTTGGCAACTACTGCAATCTTGGACTAAAGGACTCCTACATCGACAACATGATCGAGGAGTCTGGAATGAACAACTGCAACTCAGTGAGCACTCCAGGAATTGCACACTACAAACCAACAATAGAAGATGAAGCACTACTTGACCACGGGCAACACAAAAGGTACAGAAGGATTGTTGGCAAACTTCAATGGTTAGCATACACACGACCAGACATTGCATACTCCACAAAAGAACTAGCACGAGACCTCGCAGCACCTACAGAACTTTCACAAAAGAGAGTCAAACATCTACTACGCTACTTGCACGGCACCACGCGCTACAAATTCACCATAGAACCAACAACAACACTCAGAGCAACCGCCAACAACATCCTGGATCTCGACGTTCATGTCGATGCCGACTGGGCAGGATGCCCTACTACCAGGAAATCAACTTCAGGTTTCAACATCATCTTTTTAGGAACAACAGTTGCATTTGGCAGCAGAACACAAGCTACAATAGCACTCAGCTCAGCAGAGTCTGAACTCTACGCCATTTGCACAGGAGTTAATGAGGGACTACACCTCAGAAATTTCTTAATTTGAAACCAACATTTGCAGCAAGCTAAACCTACGCATCCACACAGACTCCACAGCAGGCAAGAGCATTGCTACACGACAAGGCACTAGCAAACGAGCGAAACACATCGACCTTAAATTTCTCTACACACAAGACCTCATCAAGCACGACATCATCAGAATCCTCAAAATCAACACACTACACAACAGCTCAGACTTGTTCACAAAATACATCAGCAAAGAAACACTACAGAGGCTCATACAGAGCATTGGCATACGCGTTTAGCACTACGGACAACAACTGTTTCACAACTGTTTCGCATCAACCACAACAGTTTGTATATGGCCATATGTAACTACTTGCATGTAAGTAACAGTAACAGTAACAGTAACTACAAGTCACAGTACTTGTAACCACCAGTAATTTGCACTTGCACGTTTGGCGGCTTTTGGCGGCTTGGGACAACATTACATGTTGTTTTGTTTTACTACATGCCCGCATGTGCTTTTGTGAGCTAACGTTGGCTCACTACTGTCTGCCCCGTTTCACTGCATCTCCATAGGCCGAACTACCAGCAATGGCTGGAACTACGCCCATGGATGCGACTACGCTGAATGTCATGCCGATGGAGGTTACTACATCAGCTCCAGAGGCTACTCTGCCCGTCGAACAACAGGCTGGCATCACTACACCGGACCGTGTTTCCACACCACCAGATCGACAGAATACTACCGACTCCAGCAGCATGGCCACTTTGGCCACACCACCACCTGAGGCATACAACGCCCTCAACTACAACTTCAATCACCAACTACCCACACCTGCACCTTTCTACAGACCCGACAACATTTTGGCACATTTCACGACTGTTGAGAACAACATCCCTGACACTCCAGCGATCGACCCGGCACAGAACTACTTCAGGGTCTACGTGGCTTTGACGCAAGAGGAATTTCAACTAGTCAGTCAACAACAAACAACTACGCCCATTCCCGAGCTCGACTACAACCTACCAATTCACGACCTACCCTCAGACATTCGGATGCCAATTTACGACTCACCACCTCTTCACCTACGTCTTTCTCAGGGAGTCAACTTCTACTACTACAACCTGACATCACTACACCTCACAACCCAGTACATCAACTCGATGGTCATTGTCCAACTACACCTTCCACAAGAAGTTCTACAACGATTTGTCAGTGCTGGACAAGTCACCAACTTCTCCCGCGACTACGTGGGCCACATGATCTCCATCACCGACAAGCACCACCTTCCTACACGCCAACTACATCAACGACTACACCGAATCAACTACGATTTGGACCAAATCACCACTACATTCAACCTATCCAACAACTTCATTTGGAACTACCACATGCCCTTGTACCTACCCGACCTACTCAACTACTTCGACCAACCGCAACAACTTCAAGACCACCACTACAAGTCCATCAACACGATTCTACACAAAAGTGCCACCTACTACGGCATCACCCTACTCACGGCTACGAATCTTTCCATGCAACACAAACTACTACTCCAAAACTTTCTCACTACAACCGGCCAACCACCGGAGTGCGACTACAACCGTCTCCGTGGCGGTCCAGACTTCCTCAACACATTCACTACCAACCACTATGCAGGCTGGGACTACCGCATCGGCCAAGTCCAGAACTACCGAGGCCACCACTGGACTAAGCGCGCCTGATCTACAGGTGGAACTACAACTACTTGCTGTACTACGTCATCGTACTACGAGATGACTGAGAGCCACTTAGGAGCGCTGTAGATACCTACCTTCGGTCATTTTTTAAGAGACTACATGCCTGTTCGCTACAGTAGCATCGGCAAACAACATGTGCATTCGTTTTTGCCACTACTGTCAATACCACCTTTTGGGTCTATGGTTAAAAGGACACTACAAGGTCTTTTAACCAAGGGGCCGTGTCAAATATCATGCTGCGCTACTTGTCCCTTGCGCATGCATGATGTACACTACCCGACCGCAGGCCTTGAGTCTACAAGGAAAAGAGTGCATGCTGGCTAACTACATTTGTGTTTGTGACAACATAAACAACACCTGCACTTGTAGTAAAGTATCGACGTATTTTCACGACCCACTCACTCACTCACTCACTCACTCACTCACTCACTCACTCACTCACTCACTCACTCACTCACTCACTCACTCACTCACTCACTCACTCACTCACTCACTCACAATCACTCACTCACTCACTCACTCACTCACTCACTCACTCACTCACTCACTCACTCACTCACTCACTCACTCACTCACTCACTCACTCACTCACTCACTCACTCACTCACTCACTCACTCACTCACTCACTCACTCACTCACTCACTCACTCACTCACTCACCTCACTCACTCACTCACTCACTCACTCACTCACTCACTCACTCACTCACTCACTCACTCACTCACTCACTCACTCACTCACTCACTCACTCACTCACTCACTCACTCACTCACTCACTCACTCACTCACTCACTCACTACTCACTCACTCACTCACTCACTCACTCACTCACTCACTCTCTCACACACTCACTCACTCACTCACTCACTCACTCACTCACTCACTCACTCACTCACTCTCTCTCTCTCTCACTCACTCACTCTCTCACTCACTCACTCACTCACTCACTCACTCACTCACTCACTCACTCACTCACTCACTCACTCACTCACTCACTCACTCACTCACTCACTCACTCACCACTCACTCACTCACCACTCACTCACTCACTCACTCACTCACTCACTCACTCACTCACTCACTCACTCACTCACTCACTCACTCACTCACTCACTCACTCACTCACTCACTCACTCACTTCTCACCTCACTCACTCTCACTCACTCACTCACTCACTCACGCACTCACTGCCTCACTCACACACTCACTCACTCACTCACTCACTCACTGCCTCACTCACTCACTCACTCACTCACTCACTCACTCACTCACTCACTCACTCACTCACTCACTCACTCACTCACTCACTCACTCACACACTCACTCACTCACTCACTCACTCACTCACTCACTCACTCACTCACTCACTCACTCACTCACTCACTCACTCACTCACTCACTCACTCACTCATCACTCATCACTCACTCACTCACTCACTCACCCACTCACTCACTCACTCACTCACTCACTCACTCACTCACTCACTCACTCACCCACCCACTCACTCACTCACTCACTCACTCACTCACTCACTCACTCACTCACTCACTCACTCACTCACTCACTCACTCACTCACTCACTCACTCACTCACTCACTCACTCACTCACTCACTCACTCACTCACTCACTCACTCACTCACTCACTCACTCACTCACTCACTCACTCACTCACTCACTCACACACTCACTCACTCACTCACTCGCTCGCTCGCTCGCTCGCTCACTCACTCACTCACTAACTGACTCACTCACTCACTCACTCACTCACTCACTTACTCACACACTCACACACCCAGTCACTCACTCACTCGCTTGCTCACTCACTCACGTACTTACTCACTCACTCGCTCGCTCACGCACTCACTTACTCACTCACTGACTCACTTACTCACTGATTCACTCACTCACTCGCTCGAGGAAGATGAAGGTGGAAGACATCTTTGACGCGGTGCCGCCATGCTTAAGCTGTTGTGAAGCCTGGGCCAGCGCAGTTGTCACATACATCTGGCGTCTAGTGGGGCTGCTCATGGCTTTTCTGCGACCAGGTGATGAGCATGGAGGACAACCAGCGTGACAAGCTTCTCGATGGCTTGTCACAGTGGCAGCCTCAGAGGCAGCAACGGATAAGGGATGCAGGCAAACTTGAATGTGAGCCTCTGCTCTGCAAAATGAAAATACGATATTCAGGACATCATGAGATGTTAGCATCCCCGAGTGCCTGAAGGTCACAGCTGACAGATGTTGCTCGTGCGTGCAACCGCTTCCCGTCCATCTCGCTGGAGTACAAGGCGAGCTGGTTTCCTGCTGGCCCGTTCGGGCCCGTTCGGGCCCGTTCGCCGTTCCCGATGAGGTGCAGAACAGCGACGCGTTGGTGACCGGCGGCAGCGCCAAGATTACGGTGAAGCTGACGAGAGAAGCCATGGAGGCCATGAATGGACGCAATGAGCGAATCCTGTGAATCCGTAGTTGCGCTTGTGCGCTTGTGAGCTTGTGTGCAATTCGCCCAGGAGGAAGGTGCTACGGTCGGCCCAGTGTACGCCATGTACTACCCCAAGGCAGGTGTACGCGTTGCCTTGATTGAATTCTCGTGCTGCGGACGCAGCCAGGAGAAGGAAGAGAGTTGGTGGCTGGTCATTGGCGGCCCGAAGAGCGCTTTGGCAGTTGGCTCAGCAGCAGAAAAGGGGTCCTACGGACATTACGCTTTGTGCTGAGATGGCCATTAAGCGCCTGACAATCAGCAAGGCAAGATTCGCAGTCCAGACTCTTGATTCAAAAGCCTGGCCCTAAGCTTGTCCATGCCAGGCAACCGCAAACGTCAAGCTTGAAGTCGAGCTGGGCGAGGATGCTGGCTCCCATGACTTCACGTTGTACCTTATGTCCGACTCCTATCAGGCTTGACTTTAGAGTTTGGCTTCTTGTTTTTGCTCATGCTGAAGATGCCTGTAGATTTTACACCCTGAGATTGCGCTTGGCAGGGCTGCGACCAGGAGTACAACTTCAAGCTGAACGTCAAGGCTGCCTGAGTCCGTGACTCCACGAGACAGGCGAAGCGTAGGCTGCGGTCAGAATCTGCCTCTGGGAAAATCGAAACAAACTGAGTGGAGCTCCGGCAGCCTGACCTCAGCATGTTGCTATGGCCCCTCAAAAGGATGGAGCAATGGAGTGGATCATCTAGGGATCCGGACAGGGTGTGAAGTGCAACCTGCGCCTGCTTAGCCCGCGTGGGGGTAGCAATCCGCCTGAGTCGGCTTGGCAGCCGCAAGGGCCGATCAAACATGCGTGTCTTGAGATGTGACTTTTTTGGGGTACAGCGAGAGTGCAGAGTGAGAGTCACCGCTTGTGCAGCCTATGTTTGTGCGATATTCCTGGCATTGGCATATTCTGTGCCATATTCCCAGCCCGCTTCCTGGCACTGCCACGTGGCTCACTTCCTAGCATGTGCTAGTGATAGATAGGAAGCCGGTCGTTGCAGGAATCGGGTTCTTGTGCATGCAGGAATCGGATTTGGCATTTGTGACATGGAAGGATGGAGGCCGATTTCGGGGAACTGGATGCCGAGCTGGAAGGTTGGAAGATGTTGGAAGCTCGGAGTTTGTTCCTCTCCGTGAGCGATCTCCCAGGCTTCTTCAATGGCACCACATCCACGGTCAATCTCCAGCCGCCAAATGCTTAGAGCCAAATTGACGAGCTGACTGAGCACGAGTTTGCGTGCCCCGGTTTCGTATGTCCCGTTTGCAGGCACCCGACATCCTTTGGCAGCGAGGCACGCAAGAAGGGGTACATGGAAAGGGTGCAAGACTACTAGTATCAGTTGTTTGATAAGCGGCGTAAGATTTCTAGAATTCTGTGAGTGCAGTGGCAGGAGAAGACAAGTACGAGTGCCCCCAAAGCACCACAGGCACGGTGAAGCATGGTGACTTGCACAGAAATCGCTGTGGCATCAAAAAGAAATCAGGCAGAGCCCGTGAGCGGCTTCCGCGCATCCATGGCTGGACTTCTAGGCGGGTGCAATCCACATTTCGTTTTTTCCTCTTCGTATTTTTCAATATTTGCTTGAGCTTAGGCCGCGCTGCGGTGCTGCAAGGAGTCATGAGTCTCCTAGGCGGAATGGAGCAGCTTGTAGCCAAAGATGGCCCCGTCTTGGTAGGCCAGGCTGAGGGCGCGGGTGCATCGCCAATTCCATCGTCCGTGGGCTCCGCAGGGCGCCCAAATGGCATGCGAGTCTCCCAAAGCTCCCGTGCTCCGCGTGCTCCGCCAGGTCAAGGATCAGGTCCGCGTGTCCGCGCGTCCGAGTGTCCGCGTGTCTGCGTGTCCGCGTGTTCGGGAGAAATTCTGCTTGCCAGGCCACCAGCTTCCTGTCAAAAGCCCAGCGTGGATCCCAGGCGTCGGGCGCTTCTTCGTTGAAAGCATTGCTAGTGAGGCCATGGAGGGAATTCGTTTGGCCCCTGTCAGCCACAGCCTCAGAATTCCGCCTTTTTGTTTTTAAAAGCTGTGAGCAGTTTGGCGCAGCCAGGTGCCGACTGCCAACGAGGGCTGCTCCCGCCTTTCCGTACGGAGCCCAGCGGGTCCAGAAGAGGGTCCCTGGCCCACGGGCGCGATTTGGCGATTTGGCCTCAAGGCGAATGTTTTCAATTATCAGACGAACTACGCGATCCTCTTCGTGGCCGATGGCTTAGACTCCGGATTGCGGGGCTGGCCCATCCCCCGTGGCAGGTCCAGCTGATTCTCTCGATCCTCACGCAGCCATCGGCGCTGATGTGCATCATCCTCACGGCGCTGCTGGCGCAGTTTATCCCTAATCCTGCAGTCCTGCAGTCCTGCCTCATCTTTTCCGGAGGTCATTACTTGGGTGCTTTTCTTGAAGAAGAACGAGGACCCTGACTGGGCGCCCAAGCTCGGCGGCGTGGCCGCCTCAGCCCTCCAAGCCCTCCAAGCCCTCCAAGCCCTCCAAGCCCTCCAAGCCTCCGCGAGGTTGTGCTGTCGCCGATGCAGAGATGGCTTTTGCTGGCCATGCGCCCAGCCTTGAGCCTTGCTCCTTGTGCACGTGTGCCATTCCCCTCGAGGCAGCTGTGACGGCCATCGTCCTCCTCCTCTGGGTGGGTGGTCCCATCTTTAATGCAGCCCATCCCTAAGTCGTTGACGCCACAATCGCTGCAAGTCTCTTGCAAGCCTAAGCAGGCTCAACCACAGCTTCCATGACAACTTCAGGCTTTGATGTACTTGTTCTTCTTCCTGGCTCATGGACTCTTGCACGAGCCACCGAGAGGGGTTGCAGCAGGAGGCGTGGCTCTTACAGTGTGCAGTGAGTGACATATCCTGAGCCGTTTGCGATTTGCTGACCGAGTTGGAGATCCTGTGCCAATCTGAAAAGCGTGTGTAGATTTCCAGAGGAAGTCTCGGCCTGACCTAGGGCCAAAGACGCGCAGGCGCAAAGCCACAGCCGGCGGCGCCAAAAAGAATGCCTGCTCACGTGCTCCAGTGTTTTGGCCAAGCCTTGTCAGCATGTTTGTGCCTTAGACTTGAAAGCCCTTCAGTCTATTGAGCTTCAAGGAATTCGGATTCCTGCCGGCTGCGCAGTTGGGCACCCCAGGGGCACCATGTGACCAGGATGCTTGCGATTTTTGAGAACCCTGAAGGTGATGCGACGGCTGTCAAGGTGACGTGCATTAGCGTGCTCCATTTGAGTGATGCACCGGAGAGGCTGCTGCTTGCATGCGTGGCGACGGTATGCCTGAGATACAGGCAGGGGCTGAAATGAAGGCGACCGAGGCCCGCTGGCAAGGGGGGCTTGTCACTTTGCAGGCCAGCTTTCGTCGTGCCGAGCTCTAGAACCGGTGGGAGGCTGAGCTTCATGTGGACTGCGCATGAGATAAGGTGTTGAGATATTACACACTTTGCAGTCGAAGGTAGAGCAATTGGGCACTGATTGGTTTTAGGCTGACCGTTCAACAAAAGGCAAGGTTTAGGCCGGCAATGAAGCTATTTACAAGAGACGAGGCTATTTACACGGAATCAGCTGACATCACTCTGCAGGTACACAAGGCTGATCAGGCCTTGCTTCCCACTGTCACGCGCAGCTTCGGCTGGGTGAAGTTGAACGGGTGTGCTTACAAAGTGCCTGGCAAGTGTGCAGGGCTGAGAGGGGGTGCGCTTGAAGGGGTGTGCTTATCATGCTCCTGGCACGCGTGCAGTGCCGGGCGCGCTTGAACGCGTCTGCTTGCCACGTGCCTGGCAAGTGTGAAGGGCTGAGTTGGCGCGGTTGAAGGGGTCTGCTTATCATGTGCCTGGCATGTGTGCAATGCTGAGCGGGTGCGCTTGAACAGGCGTGCTTATCATGTTCGCGCAGCGCTGGGTGCACTTGAGCAAGCGTGCTCACCATGTGCCTGGCAAGTGTGCAGGGCTGACCAGGTGCTTGAAGGAGTGTGCGTGCCGAGTGCCTGGCATGTGGCGCTTGAACAGGCGTGCTTACCATGTGCCTGGCGTGTCAGCGGGTGCGCTTGAACGGGTGTGCTTATCATGCTCTTGGCCTGCGTGCAATTGAATTACCGTGTGCCTGGCAAGCGTGCAGGGGTGACAGTGTGCGCTTGAAGGGGGTGCGTGCCATGTTTCTGGCATGTGCGCAGCGCTGAGCGGGCGCACTTGAAGGGATTCGCGTGCCATGTGCCTGGCATGTGTGCAGCGCTGGGTGCAGTTGAAGGGGTGTGCTTACCGTGTGCCTGGCAAGTGTGCCTTGCTGAGTGGGTTCGCTTGAACAGGTGTGCTCCTCATGTTTGTGGCATGCGCGCAGTGCTGGCTGCACTTGAGCGAGCCTGGCAAGTGTGCAGGGCTGAGGGGGTGCGCTTGAAGGCGTGTGCTTACCATGTGCCTGGCGTGCGCGCGGAACTGAGCGGATGCACTTGAAGGGTGGTGCGTACCGAGCGCCTGGCATGTGGCGCTTGAACAGGTGTGCTTTCCATTTGCCTGGCATGTGTGCAATGCTGAGCGGGTGCGCTTGAAGGGGTGCGCGTGCCATGTGCCTGGCATGTGTGCACTGCTGGGCGCAGTTGAAGGGGTGTGCGTACCGTGTGCCTGGCATGTGTGTAGTGTTGAGCAGGTGCAGTTGCAGAGTGGTTACGATGTGCCTGGCATGTGTGCAGTGCTGAGCGGGTGCGCTTGAAGGGCGCTAGCAAGCGTGCAAGGCTGAGGGGGTGCGTCTGACGGGGTATGTGCCTGGCATGTGTGCAGGGCTGAGGGGGTGCGATTGAAGGGCTGTGCTTACCATGTACCTGACGTGCGTGCAGGGCTGAGTAGGGGTGTGCGCAGCACGTGCCTGGCATGTGTGCAATGCTAGGTGGACTTGAAGGGGTGTGCTTACCATGTGCCTGGCATGTGTGCAGTGCTGCGCGTGTGAAGGGGTGCCTTGGGGGCTTGGATCAATGGTTCCGCGCGGTCCACGCTGCTCCACACTCTCTGAGGTTGCAAGTTGCTCCTTTCTAGCGCGTTTGAGTCACACAACGACTGGCGCAGTGAGTAAGTCTAAGTGGAGTTGAGAGGAGTAGAGAAGTTGAGCAGAGTGGCGTGGAGTTGAGCGGAGCTGAACTAGGTTGAGTGGAGGGGACAGAAGTGGTTGAGCGGAGTAGAGTAGAGCTGAGTGGAGCGTTGTTGGGCAGAAGTAGGGCGGAAAATACTGGAGTGGAGTGGGGTTGTGCAGAACGGAGCGAGTTGAGTGGAGCGTCGTCGAGTTGAGTGGAGTTGAGGCAGTGCAGTGGGGGCATAGAGTGGAGTGGAGTGGAGTTGAATGGTGGAGGTCAGTTTAGTGGGGGAGCGGGGTTGAGCGGGCTGGAGCGGAGTCGAGTAGTATTGAGGGCATGTGAGTGAAGTGGAGACAAGTGGAATTGAGTGGGGTTAAGTGGAGTGGACTCAGCGGAGTGAACGGATTGAGGTGAGGCAGTGTGAGTGAGTGGGTTGCATGATTTTACTCGGTATGCGAAGCAACCCTTCCTTGTAAGTAGTCATTTTTCTTAACCTGGGGTTTACTCACGCCCATAGACTTTGCTTCCCTAAAGGTAATAGATAACATCCGCAACTAAAACTCTTCATTGTAACTGCAACGGAGTATCACAAATGCTGGCCTTGTCATACTAATATTTTACAGCAAGAAACCCATCATCGTCGTGTGTGGGTGCTTGTGACTGTGTGTTCATGAAGAGAGTTTCACCTGCAACACGGACGCTATCATTTGATGTGTGGGTACTAATTAGTAACTATGCGTTCTCTAAGAGTCCCTTTGCATTTTGTAGTTCATGGAACAGTTTGACTGAACGGGGCAGGCGTGCGAGTCGCGAGAGGACGCTCCGCAAAAAGCATCCCCAGATACACCCAAAAACATGCCAGACAACCCCCGAACGCACCACCTAAGACATCACCCACAGACTGCGGCTTGACTGGTGTGTCAGCGCTCAAAGGTCGGCGATTTCTTCTGGGTGCAGCCATCAGCGGCAGCACGCAGCTTAGCCTCTCACTCCCTTTTGTTTTGCTACATGTACATTTATGGCTCTTACTCTTCGGGCACGTGTCGAGGCCTCAAAGCTGACGCGAAGGAAGCGACAACCCAGCGAGGCAAGGCATGAAGGTTCGACGCCAGGCGCAGAGTCTGACAAGCATGGAGAAGTGGGACGGCTCGTTCCTGGACACCAGCAAAGACTGCAAGGAGGCGCGAGTCGAGCGCCTTGGCCTTGGGCCTCTTGGGCCTCTTGGGCCTCTTGGGCCTCTTGGGCCTCTTGGGCCTCTTGGGCCGTCAGGATAAAGCTCTGGGCACCCCGGAAGGCGTGAGACGCTTAGGATGCCTGGCCGAGTTGCTGGATATGCAACGTGCCCGGACTCAGACCTGCCTGCGGAACATCAATGCCCTCGGTGGTTACGCCACCATCCGTGGGCGGGACTGAATCATTGCGTCGTTATTCGCACTCCGCGCGCCGGCTTGCTTGTGGCTTGCTGTCAGGATGGCCCGAGCGGGGAAGAGTGGGAGGTGTTTGCCGAGTGCTCTTGCATGTTGGCTTGCTTCATGTCACATTTTGTTGCTTTGAGGTATGACGGCTCAGAGATCATCCTGCCTTTCAAAGAGAGGGGTGGCTCCAAAGCAGTAGGCAAGTGGTTCAGCAACAAGAAGTTGGGCGTGAAAGGGATTAAGTCGTTTCCTTAAATTGGACATGAGCTTGCATTGCTGCATGCCGACGTGTGCCTTTTGCTGGAATGAGGTTTGCCGACGACACTGTCTGGGAGAAAATGGAGTACAAGGCACTGAGACGCAACGCACTTGGAAAGCTTGGGCCTGCGCCAGATTTACCCCGCTCCCAATGAGATGTCAGAGGCGATCCAGCAGGCGCGGACAGCAAGTTGCTCAGATTTGGCGGTTCCAAGCAAGCGCACACACAGCAAAGACGTGCAGGAGCGCAATGAAGCAAAGGCAAAGGCAGCAAAGAAATGAGCGGCATCAGCATGTTGGACTAAGAGAAGTGAAAGCGCACATCCGGCCACTAAGTGAGTGGCGCAAGACACTAAGTGTCTTGTTAGTCACACATTCCAACATGTCGCTGTCGTGCACTCCAGAAGAGATGAAGCCAGAGGCCACGTGAGTCTGAGTCTCGCATGGCCATTTGTCGCAAGCCTTCGTCAGCACTTTTGATGGCTGCCACACGCAGGCTTGCAGGCGTCAAATGCAGAGAATTGATGTCAGAGCTGATATGTTCAATCCTTGCAGCGGCCAGTGTCAGGCAAGTGGTTGCAGTTTTCATTAGAAATGTGTGGAAATCAATCCGCGCTGCTTTGATGGCTGTGTGCAAGATGCTCGAGCGATGACAGCTGGGGCGCTGACTCCTGGGGCGCTGACAGCTAGGACGAGCTTCTACGCCTTTGGCCAATAGCCTTGGCTCAAGCAGTGCAATCAGGAATGGACATATGGTGTTCCCCCGAGCATCCAGTCTGCCAGTGCTTCCGATGAAGTCCACATTGACGCAGATTCCGCCAATTGGACCAGTAGAACATAGAACTGGAGCCATGTGTCAGCCCAACCCACAAGAGCCGATCTCACGGCCGGCGACAGCGGCAGCCTAAGCTCGCGTGTTTCCTCTGTGCGATCGCAGCGTGACCGCACGCGGCGTCCAGGCCTCCCGAGAAGACAATCTCACATATGACTTGAAAAACATGGCCGCTTACGACATCTCTCCCCTGTCTGCGACTTACGCGACTTACGCAAGTGCTGAAGTGGAAGTTTGCAATTGCAGCCCAGTTCAACTGGGACAGATCTCGCGGCATACTCTAGAGACTCAGTGCAGCCTGAGACTCAGTCAGGTTTATAGTGTGCTGGGGTTCCACTTGCCCTGAGGTTGCTGGTCAACAAACTCTTCGTGCTGCCTAGAAACAAAGGCGACGAAGGGACCTTGATAGCGCTTCCAGCCGAGGCGCATGTGGCATGTGGCATGTGGCATCATGTGGTGGCATCATGTGGCATCATGTGGCATGTGGCCTGTTCACGAAGCTCAGGAAGTGTTCCGACTTCCACGGGCAAAGCCCATTCCGAAAGAGAAGCCGAAGACAAGATGGGACAAGTTCATGGAGGCATTTGGTCTGATGCAAGAGGCGGAGACGTCTTCAGACGTGTCCAGGAAAGGAACATGAAGAAGCGAAAGCGAAGCCGGCTTGTGTGGGATGAGGCCCTGGTTTTTGAATCTGTGCTATGCCTCCAGATGCCCCCAGATGCCCCCAGCCCCGCTTGCTCAGATTGAAGGGGACTGGAAGCCACGCTGGGGTTGCCAGCCTAGAGACGCACAGCGCTTTGACGTTTTGACTGGCATCGGGCGTCTCCTGGCGCTTTTACTATCTGCACAAAGGCTACAAGAGTGCGAAAAAGTCGCAAGAGAATGCAAATTGGGTGCACGAGGCCAGTGCTTGTCATCCCTCAAGTCGGACTAGCGTGCTCACAGGTGGGCGACAACGAGAATCCCAATGAGAACCCTTTCGACAAGGCTGGGCACAGCTGCAGGCATGGGAGAGATTGCACGACCAAGGCGCGCTCTGAGCAGCGGCTGCTGAAGGCTCGGCAGAAGATGCGGGAGGTGGGGAGCTTGTTTTGGAAAAGGACGGGAGAGGCAAAAGAGAGCAAAAGAGTGCAAAAGGCAAAACAACGAACAAAAGGACAACGAGAAAGAGCAAAGAGATACAAAAGATGCAAGTCACAAAGAGCAAGAGAAAAAAAGTAGGAGAGAACATGGAGAGAGACAGAGAGATGTCAAACTACATGCTTCACTTTGCACTCTTGTTGCATGTATGCTCACTACCGCAGGCCTTGAGCTTACTACTCCGCATGAGTCAAAAGGTTGGCAGCTGCAGACTACATTGGTTGACTGTTTGTTTGAACACTACAGCACTTGCACTTGTAAGCAAAGTAACCACCGATTTTAACGTGGTAGCGGAGTTGAGATCCTAAACATAGGGGAGCTCCAGTAAGTAGTAAGTGCTACGACAACAGAGCAACAGCAGCTACATGCCAAGCTACTACGACATGTCAGGAGAAGCGGCATCAGCCTCAGCACAACAAACTACAGGAGCAGAGAACGGGCCAACAGCAGACACAGTAGGAGCCACGACTACGGGAGCAGGAACAGAACAAGACAACGACGTTCAGAGACTACATAGATACAAACTGCCACCACCCTTCTTCACTGGTGACTACTCCCAGTATGAAGAATGGCTGTTCAAGCTACAAGCATACCTCGGCCTCATAGACCGAGACTTCGACCTAGTGCTACAACTAGCACAAGTGGCTACACGACAGATTGAGGACACAGACATCAGAACACACATACTCGACCCTACACAAGCAAGCAAAGCAGTAGACCTCTCCAGAGATCTACACTACATCCTCATCAACATCTGTCAGGGAGCAGCAGCTACAGTAGTAAGGCAAAACCGCTACAACGCAAACGGATGTGAAACACTACGACTACTGCACAACAGGTTCAGCCTACCAGTAGGAACAAGGAGCGTTGGTTACCTTACCAAACTACTGGAACCCACATTCAACGAAGCGCAGTTTGAAGAACAATTTCTACAATGGGAATACGACATCAACCGCTACGAGAAAGACAATGGAACAGCACTACCAGATGGAATCAAAATAGCAATACTACTCAACAAAACCAAAGGAGCACTGCAGCAACACCTCCAACTGCGAGCTGGACAGATCACGAACTACATCGAGATCAGAGCACTCATCCTGGACTACTACAAAACGATTTCAGCCTTCACTAGATCTACTTCAGCAGTAGGAACAAACTACAATGGAGGAACTGCACCAATGGATGTTGACAACATATGGAGGAAAGGAAGAAGCTACAAAGGCAAAGGAAAAGGAAAAGGCGGCTACAAAGGAAGCAAGAGCAAAGGCAAGTACAGGAGTAAAGGACACTACAAAGGATTCGACAAAGGCAGCAAAGGAAACTACAACAAAGGAGGATACAACAAGAGCAAAGGAAAAGGCTACTCAGGATCCAAAGGATATGGATCAAGCAAAGGCTACAAAGGCCAAGGAAACTACAGCAAATCAAAAGGAAAAGGAAGCAACAACTACACAACATGCCATCGATGTGGCAAGCCCGGCCACTGGGCACAAGACTGCAGAGTGCCGGTATGGCACATAGGAGAAGGAGAAGAACTACATCCACTAGAACAAGAACAAGCAGATCACGACAACAATGATGAACTACCTCAGGATGTGAACGACACTTGGGACTGGTACTACGAAGGAGAAGAAGGACAACATGAGGTGAACTACATGGAGGAGAACTGGAACGACTACGACTATGACAACAGCTGGGATTGGAATGACAACAGCTATGAGGACACAGCGAACTACATTGGAGGCATCAACGAGTCACACCTCACCATTGGATACATCAGACAAGCAAAATCACGACTACACAAGCACAAATCCAAATCACTACTTGGCAAGAGAACAACACACACAACATCATGGAACGACCACAGCAAGAGCTTTCAACAATTCCTACAAGAAGACACCACAAAGCTACACTTCGACATAGCAGCAGCCAGACAACAACAAAGGAACAAGAAGATTGAGAACACTATCACACACTACATCATGTACTCCAACTTCAAGTCATACCACCACCTGCTGATCGACTCAGGAGCGTCTACACACGTTTGCCCGAAGGACTACGCACCAGACCTACCGCTACGACCTTGTGGAGAATCGGTTCCACAACTCTACACGGTTACCAACAAGAAGATTCCTGTCTACGGCATCAAGTACGTTCCCTACAAGCAGGACAAATTCAGGATCATGATACCCTACTACGTTTGTGATGTGAAGTATCCAATCCTCAGCGCATCAAGGCTACTTGATAGAGGATATGGACTTGACTTCACTCCACGACACTGCACCATCACACATGGACAAAAACAAGCACACCTCATAAGACACTCAGGACTTTCCTACCTACGAGCAGAGAAGATCGACATTCCTACAGGATTCGACATCTACCCAATGACTACAGACAATGGAAAATCCATTGCTGTGATTCAACCTACAGAGAGAGCAGCGCAACAACAAGAACAAATCGCACCACTCACACACACAGACCAAGGACTACGACAGATCCTTGGTGGAAACACTGACTACTGGAAACTTGATGGTGACTACGCCATCAGAGTACACAAACGACCACGCAAAGCACTGTTCACACCACACAACAGTGGCTGCCCAATACCAGAAGGAGAACTAGATGATTGGAGACTAACCATCATCAACAGACAAGGGCAAGAGCAAGAACAACTACAAGAGAACCCAACACAACTTTCCAAGCAAGAACTACAACGAAGACTGGAAGGTGACAACTGGACTGGAGAAACCAGATTAAGAAGAAAGATAACACCTACACGCAGAGCAACATCAAAGACCACACCAACAAGGCAGAGCTCACAACCACAACGGCTAATGGACACACCACCAACCAGATCAAAGATCCAATTACGAGCACCACAAAAGATATGGAGACCTAAAGCAGCACCTTCTACAAATCTTGACACCACACAACCAAAGGAGACAATACACAGACCACTCACAGCACAGGAGGACAACCAAGACTACTGGGAAAGACAAGGTGAACACTGGATACGACACCACACAACGCTTAGAACAACTCTCTTCACTCCAACAGATGGACCAGGACATCCACCAATCAACACACTTGAACCTTACAGAACTACAATCACTCACAACAACTTTGGAGAAGTTTCACAACGCAAAGATGACTGGACAGTCATGGGCAACGCAGCACTACCATTTCAATGGAAAGGAACAACAAGGTTTACCGTGAAGAAAGACTACGAGTACATCCAGGAGAACCACGATGAAGAACAACAACACGAGCATCATGAAGCACACAGAGCAAGAGGACTACGACAACCACAGCAGCCCACTCCACAACAAATAGCAGAACACAACCTTACACATCTACCATACAGAAACTGGTGTCCAATTTGCGTTCAAGGCAAAGGACGCCAAGACAACTACAAGAAACAACAATCACGACAACGTGTCATTCAAGTAGACTTTGCCTACATCAAGTCACAACAAGACCCAAAGACCACACCGGTACTGACAGCAGTTAATGTTACTACACAACTGTGTATGGCAGTATTGGTTCCAGACAAAGCATCAATGATGGACTACATGGTCAACAACCTACAAGCATTCATCTTTGAGCGCGGAAGAACACAAGGCATACTACAAAGCAACAACGAAGGCACACTCAACGCACTTCTAAAAGCTACAGCAGCAAAAGTCGGCACAATGAGTGTACGACATTCACCTTCCTACAGCAGCAACAGTCAAGGAAGCGTTGAGCGACTACATAGAACACTTCTCGGACAAATCCGCGTCGTCAAAGCTCAAGTTGAAAGCAACTACAGCATGACGATGTCCACAAAGCACTGTCTACTACCTTGGATAGTACGACATGCAGCATGGACGGTAAATCGCTACGTCATCCACTCAGACGGCTACACAAGCTTTGAACGCCGCTGGGGAAGAAACTACGAGCGAGCAATCTGCGAATTTGGCGAGACACTACTCTACCTTCCACCACAACACAAGAAACTTCCGAAAGCAGACCTACGGATGCAGAAATGCATCTGGCTCGGAAAAGTTTCCGAAACCGGAGAAAACTACGTCGCAACGGAATCAGGCGTACAAAAGGTACGAACAGTACGGAGACTACAACCGGACTTCAAATACGACCTCGCACTGTTGAACAAAGTTTCCGGCACACCATGGGCACCACGACGGAACACCTACAACCCATCGTTCGCAACACTGTTGGATACGCAACTACAACCGTCAGAGAAAAGAAGGTCCACGCAAGACTTCGGACAACAAACGAATGCGACGGACGACATCGTTGCAGAACCCGCAACAAAACAACAACGCACCACACCACCTCCACGACTTCCGTCCACATCGACGTCAAGTTCACGACCACTACCGGATAGTCCTATGGCTACCTCACCAACTGGACGACAACATCCACCACTACCAGCACCACCTCGACAAACACTACGACGTTTAACTCCGGAAGAAGTAATGCAACCAACTAAAGCACAGAAGACCTCAAAGGACACTACAATCAGATCAACGGAACAAGCAACCAAAGAACCACCACCACTACGACAGAAAATCAACGCAGTGACACTTCCCAACGGAAAATCCATCACTCCCTACACAAACGACGACACCTCAGAAGACCAACCCATAATCTTCGACAACGAAGGTTACGACGAAACACAACTACTGGAAGGAATGAAACACGAGTCAAACCAAATGAAACTACACGACGTCTACGACGAAGTAGATGCGTCTACCGTCAACGACAACGTCATCAGAGAAGCGATACCTACAAGATGGGTACACAGAAAGAAAGGACCAGGAGTACGAAGCCGAATCGTCGCAAAAGGCTACACCGAGAAGATCGAGGACGAAGACTCCGTCTACGCCTCTACACCAATGTTCACGACACTCCGGACACTTCTCGCACTACAAATGTCACGACCAAACTGGATCGCGCGACTAGGTGACGTCTCTACAGCATTTCTACACGCACCCATCGCAAAAGACCACGACGGTAAACAACGTGACGTCTACCTTTGGCCACCTAAAGAACTTTGTCCACAACAGGACAAAATCTGGCGACTAAAGAAAGCCATGTATGGACTACGCAGTTCACCGAAAGCATGGCAGGACTACCTGGCTGAAGTTCTACAAAAGCTCAGCTTTGTAAGACTAAAGTCAGAACCCAACGTCTACACCAATGCGACTCGCGACTGCTACATCATGGTCTACGTGGATGACCTCTTGGTACTTGGTGACAAGACTACTGTCGACTCCACCTTCGAGGCCATCCAGAAGCAGGTCCTACTCAAGCACATCGGCTACCTCGAACCTGGCAAACCACAACAATTTCTTGGAAGAAACATCGACCACTTTGGCAACTACTGCAATCTTGGACTAAAGGACTCCTACATCGACAACATGATCGAGGAGTCTGGAATGAACAACTGCAACTCAGTGAACACTCCAGGAATTGCACACTACAAACCAACAATAGAAGATGAAGCACTACTTGACCACGAACAACACAAAAGGTACAGAAGGATTGTTGGCAAACTTCAATGGTTAGCATACACACGACCAGACATTGCATACTCCACAAAAGAACTAGCACGAGACCTCACAGCACCTACAGAACTTTCACAAAAGAGAGTCAAACATCTACTACGCTACTTGCACGGCACCAAGCACTACAAATTCACCATAGAACCAACAACAACACTCAGAGCAAACACCAACAACATCCTGGATCTCGACGTTCATGTCGATGCCGACTGGGCAGGATGCCCTACTACCAGGAAATCAACTTCAGGTTTCAACATCATCTTTCTAGGAACAACAGTTGCATTTGGCAGCAGAACACAAGCTACAATAGCACTTAGCTCAGCAGAGTCTGAACTCTACGCCATTTGCACAGGAGTTAATGAGGGACTACACCTCAGAAACTTCCTACTTGAAACCAACATTTGCAGCAAGCTAAACCTACGCATCCACACAGACTCCACAGCAGGCAAGAGCATTGCTACACGACAAGGCACTAGCAAACGAGCAAAACACATCGATCTCAAATTCCTCTACACACAAGACCTCATCAAGCACGACATCATCAGAATCCTTAAGATCAACACACTCCACAACAGCGCAGATTTGTTTACCAAATACATCAGCAAAGAAACACTACACAGGCTCACCCAGAGCATTGGAATACGCGTCTAGCACTACGAACGACCAGCGCAGCGGTTTCACAACAACAACGACTTTGGACATTTCATGTATGTAAGTAGCTACATGTAACACGACACTTTTGGTATGTAAGTAACAGCACCTACATGTACTTTCACTTGCACTTTTGGCGGCTTGAGTCAACACTACAGTTGTCTGTTTTACATGTCTGCATTCGCCGACTGCCTGGTAGCAACTACTTAGGCTCATTTGTTTTGCCCCGTTTCACTACATTTTGCATTCCACTGCAGCCATGGCCGCTCCATCTACTGCAGATGCTACGATGGGAGACGCCACTACGCCCGACAGGGCGACTACACCTGAGGTGGCGGTCACTACAGACTCCAGTGACCATGGAACTCCACCACCTCAAACCTACAACGACTCCAACTACCACTTCAACCATTCTACACCCGGCAACACCGTCTACTACAACCCGACCACAGTGATGGACCAACTACACATCACTGAGCACCAGACAACCACTGCACCACCACTGCCCAACAACATTCCCTACACGCAATTTTTTACTGCATTTACACTTGAAGAGTATCAACTACTCTCACAACAACAAGCTACTCCACTGGCACAACTGGACTACACACGACCCATTCACTGCATCCCTGGAGATCTTCGGATGCCACACTACAATTCCACACTGCTCAGCATTTCACTACCTGAAGCAGCCAACGTCCACTACTACCACACGACTTCACTCCACACTACAACTGGCGACAACACCAACTACGTCATCATCCAACTCCAGATTGAACAACCACTACTCCTGAGGTACCTCACTTCAGGACAATTTCTACACTTCACAAGGGACTACATCTCCTACATGATGTCGGTACAACACAACTACTACCTCCCGACTACAACACTGCCACAGACCATCTTCAAGGTGAACTACAACATGACCACCTTCACTGACAACTACAGCCTCAGGAACAACTACGTTTGGAATTTCCACATGCCACTACTTCTACCTGAACTACTCCATTACCTTTACAACCGAGACCAACTACACGACTTCCAGCACAAAGCAATCACTACAATCCTCTGCAAAAGCATCCAATACTACGGATTCACACTACTCACAATGTACATGACAACCTTTTTCACCACCAACTACTACGCGACCTTGGACAGTTGACTGCAGATGGTCCAAGCCTACCGCACCCAGAAATGGGGACTACATTTTTGAGCTCCTGCTCTACTACAACGAGTGCCTGCCTTCACTACTTCCGTCCAGCGCCCTACATCGAGCTGGAACCTGAACAGCGTGAACTACTGAGCGCAGGTCACTACTTTTGCCAACACAGTAGAATTGATGAACAACAGTGGTTTTCATCACTACTGTCAATCCATGTTTTGCACTTCAGTTGAAAAGGTACTACAAAGACCTTTTAACTGAGGGGCCGTGTCAAACTACATGCTTCACTTTGCACTCTTGTTGCATGTATGTTCACTACCGCAGGCCTTGAGCTTACTACTCCGCATGAGTCAAAAGGTTGGGAGCTGCAGACTACATTGGTTGACTGTTTGTTTGAACACTACAGCACTTGCACTTGTAAGCAAAGTAACCACCGATTTTAACGAGAGAGAGAGAGGGAGAGAGACAGAGACAGAGAGACCTGGAGCGGGAGAGCTGAGGTGCGGAACAAAGTGGAGGCTGCTGGAGGTGCGCCAAGAGTTCATGTCAAAAGCAAGAAGGAATCCAAATGACAAACGAGAAAGGAACCCCAAAGGAAAGGAACATCGCCCCGAAAAGAAGGCAACGCGCCCTTCGAAAAGAAGGAAAACCCTTCTGGGGAAATGTTTTCTTCAGGCAAGCTGCGAGCCAGTGTTCCGGACCTGGATGCCGGGCAGCTCGGGGCCCAAGACAAAATGGAAGCACTGCCTTCCGATTTTTGGAGGAGGGCCCTGTAGACGCTTTCAGGATCTCATACTTGAATGGAGCCAGATCAACATCCTGAGGACCTGAATGAAGATATAGTTTCACATTTTGGGATGGCCCCTGAAACAGGCTTCGGACCCTAGAGCAGTTTGGCTTTCTTGTTTCACCTGAGCTTTTGAGACAACTGCAAATTCCTGGTATGTTGTGTGCTAAGTATACATACATATCAGTGTTTTCGAAGAGGGTTTGGTTTGTTGTTTGATTTGTCATTTGGCTTTCTTGCCTTTGAGGTGGCAGGGGTTTTGCTCCAATCGTCAAGCCCTTCTCTGTCCTCACAATGTTCCAAATACGAAGTACAGTTTTCTGCGCGTGCAGTGAACGAGACACACCTCCATGGCTTGTCGGGACCACCTTGCAACCACGTGCCGCTTCTGTGTCGATCTACTATTTGTGATGCGATGGTGTCGTTTGAGGGCCATGCTCTATGTGGCTGTCCTTTCACCAAGCGCTGGCTTTAGGAAGCGCGGAAAGCAGGGCCTCAAGGAGGCCATCAAGCGTGCGCAGGCACGTCGGGGGTTCGGTCGATCGGCTGCGCGGCTGCGCGGCGCGGCACGCCCAGGTCTCCTCTGCCTCCTTCGGGAAGTTCGACCGCGTGGCGCCCAACGAGGCCCAGAGAGAGGAACAGAGAGAGAAACGGAGAAGAAACGGAGAAACGGAGAAACGGGGAAGAAAATAACCGCGGGGACGACGCGGAAAGACGTCGAAAGAGCCTTGACGCTCCCGTAGGCCACAAACTTGCAGCCCAAACGCAAGAAGGGCATTACGCCTGTGAGCGCGGGTGCGGAGAAGGTGGGGTTGCCTGCAAGCATTGCTTTGAGCCTTGTCCTCAGCTCCAGGAAAACTATTTGAAGGCGGTTGGACGGGTGATGTCTGGTGATGGACCGGTGGATAAGCACAAAGCGGCGCAGGCACAAGCGATTCCAGTCTTCGTCATTTCTTTGGCTTCGGCAACCGCATGGCAGGTGGGCGTGTCTCATGACAGACGCAACGATGCAAACGCTGCAAGCTCAGATGGCCGATTTGTAGAACTGCTCAATGAATCGCGATGAATCGCGATGCTGCGTTCCCAGGCCCGGTCAAGACAGCAAAGCAAGCGCCGCAGCAAGCAAGGAGGCCAAGGGAAGGGCGGCAAGAAGAAGGGCCGACGCTGATGCACGCAGCCCGTGCGTGCCATCTTGCTGGATCCTTTGCGTTTCACACACCGGTGCAGAGATAAGCCGCCAGGCAAACACAAGATAGAGCGATTTCCTCCTGTGTTGATGCCAAGGAGCGGATTTTCGATAAACGGCAAGGCCATGCTGATGCGTTTGATACACCAGCCCTGGTTGGCTCAGACAGCGCTCGCTGAGTTTGGGGCCGGCCGGTTTTAGCCATGTCACGCTGGCACGTTTGATCTGATGCCACACGTGTTTGGAGAGCCAAGAATCCGGTCCCTCGATGGCAGGTCTGACCGGTCGCAGATCTTTAATCGTTCTGCCCAGGAGCATCTGATGTGACCCCGCATTCCCCATGTTTTGTCAAATTCTTGCCTTTGGCTTGTGGCAGTTTGCTGTGGAGGTACATCCAGGAAAAAGTCAATCCAGTCTTGGAGGCATTGGCTTTGCTAGTGCAAAAGCGGCAATTCATTCGTGGTTGAGGCCCTTGTAACGGCAGTTCTGCTGGAACGACCAGATGATCCTTCCTTTTTTATGCTGAGGCGTGTTGGGTGTGTTGGGCGTGTGGGTGCTGCCAGAGGTCCCTGCCGTGCCTCGCTCAGGTGGCTGTGTGAGCAGACAAAGTCTCTCGATGGGGCTGAGCAGGCGATGCCGTTTTTCTATTTGGCACCACGGCTAGCAGATGTGTTCACATATTCAGCCAGCTCCATGACCTTGCAGCCTTGGGGTGGGTTCAGTCATGTTACATTATGTTACATCAGGCATGAGCGAAATGTGAAGCTCACGATGAATCGTCCAAGTGTGAAACAATCACCACGCCAGGGTCGCACCACAGCTGGAGAGGCAGGTGCCACTGCTTGCTTTACAAGCGATCCCCTTTGTTCACTTTGCCAGGTGGCACGCAAATCCAATTGCACCGCACTGTGCATGACATGCACAGACTGGCTTCCGCCAGCCGTATTACCCTCAATGCCATGGAGCCATGTCCGGAGCTGGCGAGCCCTCTCTTCCGAGTCTGCTCGCAGAGGTGTCGGAGCTTTTGCGCAGCAGCACGCGCCACGGTTGCGGAATTCTGGCTCTCTCTCTCTCTCTCTCTCTCTCTCTCTCTCTCTCTCTCTCTCTCTCTCTCTCTCTCTCTCTCTCTCTCTCTCTCTCTCTCTCTCTCTCTCTCTCTCTCTCTCTCTCTCTCTCTCTCTCTCTCTCTCTCTCTCTCTCTCTCTCTCTCTCTCTCTCTCTCTCTCGCTTTTGTCAATGTACATGCGGTGTTGTGCTACATAGCTTGTAAATGACCGCAGGCCTTGAGCTTTACTACATTCAACATCACAGCACTTGCACTTGCAGTAAAACAACAGTCCGATTTTAACGTGGTAGCGGAGCTGAGATCCTAAACATAGGGGAGCTCCAGTACACAGCAGTAAGTACAACGACAAGGTCGCGACCCTTCTTATGACCCCTTATTTTGCTCGTGCTTCGAAGCTGCAGGGATGGTATTCCGCCATTGTTTGCAGGGATTCTTGCAGACTCCGCAAATCCTGAATGTTGGAATGACTTGCGGATCACATGACTTCGTACGGGTTTTCTTGTATTGACCAGGTGATTAGCACTGACCATCTGCTCGGCGTGCTCTCAGGCTTGTATTGTTGCGGGCGCTTGGACATGTAGTGCAGCAAGCCTTCAAACATGGACACTGAAATGACTTTCGGCAAGTCATTTGGGAAGCGCCATTGGCCGTTTTAATAGGTGGTTCTACTTCCTGATTGAATAGAAGGAGTATCAAAGTATTTTTGTTGTTGAAAACCCGGAGTCGGGGCAACTTATCCCGAAGCAGATGCCCGCAGTCTCTTTCGAGCTGGATCTGCTTCAGACAAGAACCAGGTGTTTGACTGATCATGTGTACTGGAAGTCCCTGGTATGCTGGTATGTGTATTGTTGGTATTGGTGCGCGCGGGCTCCCTTTTCTATGGCGAAGGCAGTATGCAGCGCCACTAAAGAGAAGGGCCTTGGGCCTCAATGGCACATGTCTGACAAGCGATTGCCAGAACGTCACTGGTCTGCAGAACAAAGAACCAGAAACTTCTGCTGACTTTTGGCATCAAATTATGATCTCAAGGCTCTACACCGTAGCGTAGTTTATATTGTCGTAGCCATTGAGAGAGATTGTTTAGAATATACAAGTATTTTTTTGCGATTCGAATATGTGGGTTTTGTTTTGTATCTACATAATTGTACAAGCTGTGTGCGTCTGCGTTCTAATTCGTGGACGGAAAACGGGGGAAACTAGGAGTTGGAAACCACCAGTGGGAGTCAGGTACCGGGGTGTCAGAAACTGCTGTCCTGCCCGGAGTTGGAAACCAGATCGGCGGGAGTTGGAAACTCCCGCCGCTGGAGATGTAAACCGGTGGGTTTGTTTAGGGCCAGGGTTGGTTTAGGGTTGGTTTAGAGTTGGTTTAGGGCTGGTTAAGGTTTTGTTAAGGGTTGGTTTAGGGCTGGCTTAGGGTTGGCTTAGGGCTGGTTAAGGGTTGGTTTAGGGGTTGATTTAGGGCTGGCCTAGGGTTGGTTTAGGGTTGGCTTAGGGGTTGATTTAGGGCCTTTGATTTTGGCGTACTCCATGCGTGGTCAGGCCTTGGGCGCCAAAACAATGGAAGGTGTGGTGAAACAGGTCTGGCATTACGCAAAAACGTGAACCACAGTTATAAAGACACATCCACGTGGTACATGGGTATGTTGATGTATGAGGATTGGCCGTCTCTTTTTTGGGGGGTTAGCAATTCTCCTTGCGAAAGGCGGGGGGGGTTCCCATGTCCTTTTGTGAAACAAGTCATGTTGTAAATGGCACATGTGGGCCGAGTCGCGATTCCCAATCACACCTCTTGCGAGCTCATATGGTGCTCGCACAAACTGGCTCGACCGTCACATCGGACACATGTGAACAGAGGATAGAAACATTGGTCGCTCAGAATGCCTGTTCGCTGCGCACGTTGCATGAATTAAACAGCGGAGAGACTGCTGAACATCATTTAGTGCGTGCGCGCACCGGCTGAGTGCTGAAGTTGCAGAAATTGCCAAGATTGATGGAGAACAAGCGTGAGACGATCTTTGAGCTGCTTCGACGGAGCTGCTTGAAGTCTGCAAGGCCAAGCATTTCGCAAGTCGAGTCTTGAGTGCAGGCTTGAAGCCTGGCACTTGCCAACCCTAAATGACAGGGATGGGGCGCTCGACTCTGTGAGCGACGCTGCGGCAGAAGATGGCTGGTACTTCCTGTTGATGACGCTTGGCACGGAGAAAGCATGATGGCACTAGGTAATTTGTGCGATTTTGTCGGTTTGAGAGTGTGGGAGGGATACGGTGGGAGGACAAGACTAGTCAGAACTAGACGTCCATGTTTCTGCCCAACCCAGGATCCGCAGGAAGAGCCCAGTACGAAAGCGCCGAGTCGATGAGTGCCTCAAGGCGTTGTCCTCTTCGCAGAGGCGCGATCGGAGGGAGGGCGTTTGGGCGTGACTCGAGTTGCAGGTGGATGCAGCGACTCCAAACCAAGAAGCTTCAGGTGCCTGGCCTCTGCGGTTTGCTTGCCATTTCTGCGTGCATTTCGTGCGTTGCGCGTTTCCCTTGTGCATTGTCTTGATCTGTGACTCGCCAAGGACTTCCTGGCGCAGGACGCCGAGAGCCAGAAGCTGCTTTGCGGCGACACGGCCGGCTCCAACCCCTTCGCGAACGCGGCGAGCGCGGCGCCCGTGTGCAGCCCCAAGGCGGCTGCGGGAACGCTGGTCTTCTCCGCGGCCTACGAGGCCGCAGACACCGCGGCCGCGAGCGCGCGAGAGCCGTGGGAGCCCAGGGAGCCGTGGGAGACCAGGGACCCCCAAAAGGAGAGGGAGAGGAAGGAGCAGAGCCAAGATCTTAAGGACAGAGCCGGGGTGAAGTTTGTTGGTTTGGAGCCAGAAGGCACTAGTTGGACCAGCAAGGTGGGGCAGGGTGTGTGCACCGCTGCTCAAAAGACGAAGGAGTTTGAGCAGAAGCATCAGGTGACTGCTCGTGCTGCCGGGGCTACCAAGGCATCGTTTAGAGCTGCCTATGAGGCTAATCAGAAGTACGGTGTCACGGAGAAGATCGGGCAAGGCGTCACCACGGCAGCCAAAAAGAGCGTGGAGTTTGAGCAGAAACACCACGTGACCCAACGAGCTGCGGAGGCGGCTCGGTCCACAGTGAATGCAGCTCGTGGGGCCAATGAGAGGTATGGCATCACCGAGAAGATTGGGAGTGGTGCGAAGACGGCGTACTCCAAGGCCCGGGAGTTCGATGAGAAGCACCAGGTCACCTCCAAGACAGCCTCCGGCTTGAAGTCTGGTGTGTCCCACTTGGCTTCAGCAGCCGGGGCAGCTGCCGGTGCAACTTCCAAGGCCTCCAAAAATCCCTTCGGTGCGCCCCAGACAGCGCCGAGCCCTGAACGGGCGTCGGCCCAGAAGAATCCCTTCCGGGGGACAGGCAATCCCTTCGTGCGCTGAGTATTGGCGCCAGGCGATTTTGACTTTCGGAGAGCGGCGCGGGATGGGTGCGGTCTGTGAAGGAGCATGGCAGCACATGGAGCCCAGAACGCATGTGAAGGCAGAACGGTCCAACCGCACAGCGGCACGTGAGAGTGCACGCGTGAGCGCAGCGCAAGGCGCGGCGCGCAGACGGAGCAGCCAACTTTTGGAAAGAGCCATCCAAGGGCCGGTCAAGAAAAAACAAACGCATAGTGCGCCGCAGATCTTACCTCACGTTGAGCGATCGTATGAAATGAATGCATCAAAGTGCAAAGTCACCGGCATTTGCTGCAGATCGAGACCGTGCAGGCTGAGATCAAGAGGTTGCAGGACGCTGCTCGTAGCTTTGAGCTTCCATTCGCAATCTGGGCGCGAGTCAGTGAGGAGCGCAAAGCTGAGCTTCTGGGCATTTTGGGACAGGACGGCCGGGCTAGCTAGTTGCAGCATACAGATTGGCGTGGGTTTCTTGGTGAGGACCTTGGCATCGACATGAAATCTGAAAGGCCGGCCTGGCAACATGTTGACTGTTAGAACACGTTAGGGTCAATGTGTGATATACAGGTCCACGAAGGTGGACGATGAGTCTGAGGAAGAAGAGGAGGAAGAGGAGGAGGTGCAAAACCGCCTTTTGACGGTGGCTTCCAAGGTTTCTTTGGCTGCTTGCTAGCTTGGCCACATTGCAACCAGGAAGAGGAGCCCGAGGAATTGCCAGAGCCACCTCGAGCCATCCGCCCACGGCAGAGCGTTTCTGCTGAGGCACGAGAGCACAAGTATGGACTGCCTTTTGCGCCTTTTTTTAGAGCCACCTCTTGCGCCTTGCCAGGCCTATGGCGCTTGGAACAAGAAGGAAGCCTTCAGCCCGCCTGTGTGCTCCTCCACATGTGTTTTCCAATGTGGCGTGATTCGGAGATTCGCAAAGGTACGAGAAGAGTGCCGAGCAGAAAGAACGCATTGAGAAGTGCCTGGAACGCAACTTCCTCTTCCATGCTTTGGATAAGAAGGCCCAGTGGTGCCAGTGACTCACGCGGTCCTGAGGGTCCTTGCCAGGACTTGGCGACCATCATTCTGGCCTGCCAGGACACTCACGAGTGCCTTGGGCTCACTGGGCTCTAAGAGTGCTTCGGGCTTCTGGGCTTCTTGCCTGCAGGAGAAGCTGGTGGAACCCGGAGAGACCGTGATCCAGGAAGGCCGGTGCGCCGGGTGTGCCGGGTGTGCCGGGTGTGCCCGTGCGCTTTGTTGCTCAACCTGCGAGGTGACGATGGTCAGAGCATGTACTTGATAGAGGACAGCCTTCAGCCTTCGGGTTTTGTGCGCTGTTTCTTGCCTTTCAGGATGGGAAGGTGGAATGCTACAAGCAGCAGAATGAGGAGGACAAGTTGGTGAAGGCCCGCCGCGGCGGGGTTGACCTGTGCAATGTTCGCTGGCTAGACCTGTGATGCCGGGGACATCTTTGGAGAATTGGCATTGCTCTACAACTGCCCCAGAGCCGCCTGGGCCTTGACGTCTTGGACATGTCCATGTTTGTGTGAACGTTGGCCTGGCCAAATGTGGATGCTTCGAGATGGCCAGGCCACAGTCATCTGCAAGGAGGCTTCGACTCTGTGGGAGTTGGACAGGGAGACGTTCAACAATATTGTCAAGGTCGGAAATTGGGGTGACTGCGGCTTCGATCGTGGCAACGGGACATTTTGCCATCCAGGATGCAGCTGCATCAAAACGGGAGATGCTGTCCCAATTCTTGAAGGAGGCATCCAAGATGCTTGGAGTCTTTGCAGCTGGTTGCGTTGCGGACCAAGGTCCCTTTGTTTTCAAGCATAGATGAGTACGAGCTGATGACCATCGCTGACGCTATGAAGGACATTCGGAGGGCTTTCCGCTTCTCAGAGCTTGAGTCGAGCCAGGTGCAGCTCTTGGAAGAGGAGGGCACCACGGTCATCAAGCAGGCCGTGATCGTACTGTGACTTGGCGGTCCTACCGTGCCGGTGCCGTGGCTGCCGTGGCTGCCGTGCCTGCCGTGCCTGTGCCTGCAACGTGCCGCTCCATGTCCCGTGCCGTGCCGTGTCTCGTGCGGCCGGTTGAGTGTGCCAGGGGGATGTGGGCGACTGCTTCTTCATCGTAATGGAGGGCGAGTGCGCGGCAATGAAGGTGGGCACCGCGCTAGGCTTGGACTGCGGCCAACGCGTCACTGCCAGGCCTTCGTTGAAGGCCAGGAGCCTCAGAAGGTAATGACTCACAAGGCAGGAAGGATTGGATTCGGAAACAAGTGAGGCAAAAGTGAAAGACGTTCACTGCCAGGTGGGCGACTACTTCGGCGAGCTGTCCTTGATTTCGAATGCTCCACGGGCTGCCAGTGTGGCGACATCCACCCCGAATGTGCAGGCTCTGGCAGATTCAAATTGGTTGACTTGGAGCTTTGTTTCGTCCCCGCGGCTGGCCCTGGGAATGGGGCCTTGACAGCTCATGTCCATGGACCGGAAGACGTTCAAGCGGCTACTGGGTCCCATGGTGGACATCCTTCGCAGAGAGGCGATGGCACACTTTTCGGCTCTTCTCTCTCCCTCTGCCTTTTTCTCTTGTCTCTGTTTCTTATTTGCGTATAATTTTGGTTTTGACCTGGAAGGCTGTTCGCTACGACACACATGTGAGCTCATCGTCTGGCGTTTGAAGCTTTGTGTGCACGTGCGGTTGGCCGTGTACAGTCCGCACTGGCTGTGTTCAGATTGCTCTCTGTCTCACTTGATACAAAGCAAGTGCCATGCTAGAAATTTCCTTGGCTTCTTTTGGCTTGCCTGCAAAGACTTCAGCCAGCAAGCATTCACGGGTCGAGCGCTGCATGACTTGGCCGCGGGCTCCTTGTCCATGTCTCATGCCTACCCGAAACTTCGGTTCAAAGGGGTGGTGCCAATATCAGACATGGACACGCAATGTATCTTGAAGCTTGGGCATCCAAGCCATATGAAGTTAACAAGCTGGCAATCAAACAGAGCCCCCAGCTCAAACTGACTCTCTTTGACGCCTCAAGTTGAGTTGACATAGGCAAGCCTGATGCCGCATGCCAGCGCGGCAGCATTAGCTGGGCCCTTGTTGAATCTTGGGAGCGTCCTGATTTCAATAGGGTGTACAGATGTGGACTGGCTCGTGCAGGCTGCCAGAATGCCAGATGCACAGCAGCCATGGGTATCGTCAGGGTCGCTAGTACAAGCAACAATGGCCACGGACCATCAAGCAAAGTAGCTTCCTCTCACCTCGTCGACAGAAGATTGGTCCATGTCCCAACCGTCTCCGATGCTCACTGATTGCCCAGGAGTTCTGGGGACTGCTTAATTGAATGTGTCTCACGGCACACATTCTTCAGATGTTTCTTTTTCCGCGTGCTTCTTGAGGGTCAGGTAGCTTGAACTTGTGGGAAGCGTCCAGGATGCGGCTTTTCCATTGGGGAATGGCAACGTGAAAAGTGAGGTCCATCAGAAAAAGTGAGCGTAAGCAAGAAATTGCCCCCGCAACCGAGTCGCATCTCCGAGGTCACCTCCTTCCAGGGGGCGGGTGCGGGGAGCCCAGGGAGCCCAGGGAGCCTTGGGAGCCTTGAGAGCACAGCTTTGGACCCGAGAGGCCACGCCCCCGAATGCTGCCGGGCCCCCAAACGAAATGGCGGAGGCGCCGGCCGCGGCTGGCATCCCTTTTCGCTTTCCGCTTTCTGTTGTCTTTGTTGTGTTTCATGCCTTTCTTTTCTCCTTTTTTCCCGCATGCCAGGCTGCCTCGCAGTGGGCGCGCCACGCACCGCCGGCTGTTTGTCGATGCCGCACAGGCCAACCATCTCAAAGTCGGATTCCGGAAGGCTAAAAGGTCTTTGGCTCCCGGCCTTGCGGCGTGCTCACACGACAGGCAGCGTTCACAGCCTCCAGAGCCGCACAGGCGGCCCAGTATGCCTCGCAGCAGGCTCCTCCGTCGAGCTCTGTGGGTGAGCAGTGGAGTGGCAGCCAGGCCCAGATGGCCACCAACTCGGCTCAGAATGTCACTGGGCTCGGAAGCAGCTTGCAGCTTTGTTTGGAATGGGCATTTGCAATGCCAAGGCTGTTGCACAAGTGAGCTACCTGATGAACAATCCAGACTTGAGATCCACGCAGGCGGGCGATTTATTGAGATTTGGGCGTAGCGGCGTAGCAAACAAAGAGGAACGATTCAGTTTTCGCGTTTTTTTGGTTTCAGGACACTCCCAATGCGCCCTTTTGATCTTGTTCGCCAAAGCTTTGTTGCTATCTGGAAAGGCAGCGAGTTTTGCTGCTGAAGATCTGCTTGCTGGACTTTGTGGCTCACCTGCAGCACTCCTGGCTGCGTGCAAAGAGGCACGGGAAGCAGTCGAGACGCGCAGCTCTGTGAGCTCTGCAAACCTCTGAGCCTCAAAGAGTTGCAGGTATTGGCTGATGATCACAGCCAGAGGCTGGACTTTCAGACTTGCGAGAGCACGCATTGCACGGGTCCCACCTGATTTTGGTTCGCATCATGTGGCTCATGAAGAGTGTCCTCAGGAGAAAGCAAAGGCTGTGCGGCTTCATGTGAGCGCAAGCAGAGGTTTCACACTTGACAAGCACGGAGATGAGGGCTCTAAAGGGCATGATTCTTTCAAGGCAGAGGGCAGAGGCAGGCGTTTGATTTGTGGTTGCCATGTATGGAACATCTATTTTGGGACCCTGGTTGGCTCCAGAAGCCAGCTGCTAGAAGGCTGTTCGCCATGCCTGGCATTTCTTGTAGCCGTCGCGTAGTTCCAGCGATATACTTTTGCATAGCACGAGGGTTCTATTATTCTAGCAAGATATTGAAGCTTGAGAGGGCGGGGGATCAGCTTTCACTTCGGGTTGCTCTCTCATTTCTTCCGTAGCAGTGCCAGAGTTGGGTGTCGACTCTGCCACCACTGCGCGCCTGGGCAGAATGTGGCGTGGAGTGTTGCATTGCAGCGCGGTGGTTGAAGCTTCGCATTTGGCTGCTAGGCCATGGGGCAATCCCAAAGCATCGAAGAAGGCGGCTTGGCGGCTGAGGCATTTCGTCAGAATCAAAAGCATGCAGGTGCCCCGCCAATCACTCCACCCGAAGTGGAAGTCAATCGCTGTCGAAAGGCAGCCCGAAAGCCTGAAAGCCTGAAAGCACCGGGATGCCCTGCGTTTTGTAGGACTACTTGCACCGCCTTGGTATCAAGAAAGATCAAGTGCCCGGGCCTTGAAGCTCCAAGTGACTCGGCATGTCTCGGCGTGTCTCGGCAGGGGCTATGCCGCTTTTCATCCACCCGTCGGACAAGTGGCAGAGGCACCTCCCGGCAAGGGCGCAAGGGCGCAAGGGCTCAGCTTTGCCCCATAGGCTCCAGAGCGGCTTGAGCATGGCAAGGAGGAGGCCCTTGCCCCAGCTCGGCTTTCGCCAGGTTTGCGGGTTTGCGTATCGTATCGTAAGGGAGACTTTGAGATGAACGCCTTGGGCATCCAGAGCGGAAAGCTGAGAGCTGGTTTGCAGTGGCCGTGGAGGCCGTGGAGGCCGTGGATGCAGATGCACTTGCCAAACCCGAGGCCAAGACGATTTCCGATTGAAGTACCTCCGCAATCTCGCATACTCCGAGGTCTGGGTTTCTAAGGCTGGAACCGTCATGCCAACGCGGCCGGACGGCATTCCGTGTGAGGCCAAAAAAGAGCCAAAGCACCAGACGGTGATCATCTTTGACTGGGATGACACTCTGTTATGCACGTCCTTCTTAAATCTTCGCAATCAGGATCGACTTCACGTTATGCAAAAGTGGTTTGGACGGGCTGAAAGCGGCAGGACTCCAATGTTTCGCCAGCACTCGAGCGGAACCTCAAGGCCCAGACTCTCCTTCCCCCGGCCCCAGTGGCGTCTTCCTTTGCTTGGGTCTCTCTTGGGTCCCTTGGGTCGCTTGGGTCCCTTGGGTCCCTTCTCTCTTGTGGGTTTCGGTATCGCTAGGACATCGAGGCGGCGTCCAAGAAGCTGCTGGAGCTCGCAAAGCGCATGGCTCCGGCCATAGGCTGACAGGCACGGGCCAGAACCCATGAGCTCAGGGCCATACCTTCATCATCACCAATGCCATGAGCGGCTGGGTGGAGTTTAGTGCTGCCAAGTGGGTTTGGGCCTTACGCACATTGGATTTCGATGGCCGGTCCGGTTTCTTTTTGGCAAGGCGCCTGGGCTTCTGGGTGTCCTCGAGCGAGTGCGTGTGATCTCAGCGCGCCTGGCCCCTGGCTGGCTCGTTTTGCCCGGGCTGCCTCACGTGCCCAAACGAGGGACGAAGTTCGAGCCGGAGTTCCCTGGGGAGGCCGGAGAGCCGGACACGTGGGGGACACGTGGGGGACACGTGGGGGACACGTGGGGGACACGTGGGGGACACGTGGGGGACACGTGGGGGACACGTGGGGGACACGTGGGGGACACGTGGGGGACACGTGAAGGACACGTGGGGGACACGTGGGGGACACGTGGGGGACACGTGGGGGACACGTGGGGGACACGTGGGGGACACGTGGGGGACACGTGGGGGACACGTGGGGGACACGTGGGGGACACGGACTCAGGTGGCAAAGTGGAAAGAGAGCGCCTTCCTGGAGGCATAGGACCGGAGAGGAGTGGCAGCGATTCTGATAGCCTCAGGTGCAGAAGCAACTGAACAACGAGATCATCACTAATTTGATATCTGTAGGCCGTGCTCCACTTGCTGAATTGTGCCAACGGGATGTGTGCTCAAAGGAGATTCCAACTTTGAGATGGATGCCCTGCACGTCATGGGAAAGCAGTTTGCGCAGGCACGGCTCATGCTTTTGGACAGGCGTTAGAGACAAGCATCTACCCGTTTGTCATTCCTGTTGGGCATGGTAGGACAATGGGCCCAGACAAAACCAGCCC